AAATTTCTGTGTTCTCAGACAATTGTTTCAGAAGACAGAAAATTTTTGTGTTCTGAGATGATTGTATCAGAACACAGACTTTTTTTAAATGACAGATTTTCTTTGAGGACAGAAAATTTTGTTCAAGAAAAAAATTTAAAAATTTGAAAAAGACCATTTGAAAATTTGTAAAAGACATTTTGAAAATTTTCTGTGTTTCCAGACAATTTGAAAATCTCCATGTTCTGAGATCATTGTCTCAGAACACAGACATTTTTTCAATGATGAATTGCATGAAAATTTCTGTGTTCTGAGACAATTGTCTCAGAACACAGAAAATTTTATTGCTACAAAAATTTCTGTGTTGATTTTTGTGTCTGTGTTAATTTTAATAGCTTTGTTATCCTATGTTGTCGGAATTGCTCTTTAAATCTATAGTCGATCGCATTGACGTCTCTTTGCAATTAAACCTAAACTCAACTCAATATCCGACTAGGACAATCTCTTGTCGAGAAGCTTTAACTCTGTATACCGGGTTCTGAAGTAAAAGACTTCTCGTTTACCAAAAGTGTTAGAGTATATTTCGTTCAGCAAAAACTTCCACAAGATCTTGAAAGACAATGAATACGGGAAGGATGCTCGGGCATCCTCTTTATGGATTCATTTAGGGACAGGTGAATGACGGGTCATGAGCCACGAAAGTAAACCATATGCGGACCGATCCATTATGAATGAAAGTAGAACGGAGCATGTCACATGACAACTACACCAACAAGGTATTATTTGAGTGTCTTGGGACACTGATCTTATATAACAAACTCACCGCAGACGAATAAAAAGAAAAGTTCCATCTTTTCAGAAGTGAGACAAATAAAAAGGAAAAGAGAAAAAGTCACAAAAAATTTTTCCCAAGTGATTTTCCTTGGTGTGCACATCTCGTGCTACACTGGCAATCAGAAATAAGGTGGCATGCCTGGGCATCAAGTATTGATGGGATTCCCATGTGACATCCAACAGCCAACCAGGAATTCACAAGCAGGAAATGAGAGGGATGCTGGGGAATGTCAGTTCCCACACCCTGGAAGGAACAGGAATTCTAGACAAGTTTTTACAACTTGTCTTCCTGAGATGTGACTTTGATGAATTATGCTCATTCTGAGGTAATTTCTGAAAGGGTGAACATCTATCTGAGTGAGTTGCCTAGTGAAGGTTTTCCTTCTCATTAATCCCTTTTTAGTGCTGTGAGGTCAGTGACTGATATTTTTCTGTTTTTTCAGAAATTGGTGACTCAAGCAAACAACAACAAAAAAAAGAAAAACGCAGACGAGGAAGACGCAGATGACGCTACAGGAAAAGTCCGATGGCGCGTCGTAACTCACAAGAAAAACGCAAAGGGCGACCTCTGGGAGACACGTTTTGAACTTTGGCAACACCCAAAATGGATTTTCAGCTTGTTGTGAGTATTTTTGTGATTTCACTAAAAACAAAAACTAACAAAAATGTGCATTTTCAGATTTTTCTCTTCCTGTTGGGGTGTCATCTGGTGGGAGCTGCTCCTTGTTCTGATGTGGCAGGGAGGTTGGTGTGCAATGACATCTGTGAGGCTGGGGAAGCAGCCCCTGGCTTCAATTTGGCTGTGGACTTTTTTGGTGACAGACTGGATCTTGACTGTGTAAAACACCATCATCTGGAGGTAAGAACTGAAGTCTTGGATTAAGAACTGAGTAATCCAGTACAATCCTTCTCCTTTTCAGAAAGTTAAGTTGTCTGAGCCCACATTCTGCAGAGGGGAGACTAGGGGCATGGAGAGAGTAGTCTTTCCTTGGGATTTCTGCTACTTTGACTTCAAAAGTGAGTAGGCCTAATTTTTAAGGAAATTGACTGCAGATTTCCTATAGCTAGGCTGTTGTTTTCCAGAGAATGAGGTACAGACTACCAAAGAAGGACTCAAACAGGCAGTTTTGGGCACTCCAACTGGGGCAGGGGTGCTGAAGATTATTCAGGATGAAGTCCAGAAAGAAGTCAAACAACAGCTGGCTGTTCCTGTGCTAGTTCCTGAAGAAGTGGTCTTCAAAAAGGACGAGTCACCAGAAATGTCTGCCAGGGCTGAAAAGGATGTCATTCAACAAGCAAGGGCCATCATTCCTGTGGTTAAGGGTCCTGTGGTCCCAGAAGTTGACATCATGGGCCTTGGTTCTGGGTCTGGTTCTGGTGGATTCAGTTTGGAGAACCATGAAACCAGTCTGTTGGACTCCATAGTTGAGGCCACTCAGATGAACATCACAACTGTGGACAAGAATGGGAAGGTGACTCAGACAGTTGTGCCATGGTATGTTCTCAAGATTTTGGCTTGGTGCGCTGGTGCCTTCACATCCTTGGCAGCAGTAGTAACTGGACTGGTTTGTTGCCGTAATCAGGCTAAGGTGTGTTACTAAAAACTCAGAAAGGTTGGGGTAATTTCTATAGCCTGCCTGTGTTTTTGCTTACCACTAACTGCTTAAAATCAGAAAGGAGCAGTAAAGTTAGTTAGTAAAAAACGCTGGTTGTTTATGCTGAGAGAGTAGGTAGTGAAACGTCGACTGGTACAGCTATAACCAATCTCTCTTTTGGGGAGGCATTGGAGATGGCTGAATTAACCAGACATTCTGCTACTGTTTGTCCAGTCAACAGACATTTTAGCAGTGAGCTCCCTTTCTGTAACCATGTTTTGCTTCTTTGCTTTTTTGCTGAGCATGTTTTTGTTCCAGCATTTACAGGCCAGGTTGAGGCAACCAGGGATGCTCGGCATGCTGTGGCGTGTGCTGTGGCCGGTGGTTCGTCTTTGGATGATGAGGAATCAGCGTGCTGATCCCCACCAAGATCTGGAAAAACAGGAGGACACAACCCAGGCCCAGGCGGACGCTCAGAGCATGGAGTCATTCAAAACTGTGGATGAAGAGTAGATTGCGCGCATATATTCGATGCGGTTAGTTAGGAACCTGCAATAAAATGCTTTCAGAGAGAACTCTTGTTTCACTGTTTTTGTTTTGTTCCCTTTCAGATTGGCTCCAAACTTCAACAGAGTCTTCATTGATAGCCACACAGCTTCACAGAGAGCAGCACACAAAAAGGGATCAGGAGACATATGTATTCATACAGATTCACTTAATAGCCATCAATCCAGTGGAATTAATTTGCAGTCTTGGATATAGAGGGGCAGATGGGGCAGTTCTGTTAGGCACTAGTTCAATAGTAGTCCCTTCAGTAAGGTCAATATTGCGGCGTCTTCTTCTTCTGATTACATATCTAATTTTTGTAAAACATAGGTAGGAAATGCTGAGTAAGATGATACTTAGTAACACTATAGAGACAATGAGATAAATATATCCATAATCTCTGAAATGTAATTGAATATCACTAATATCTTCTACTACAGTATTTCTTGGTTCAGATGCTGGAACTTCATTTACAGCATTGATTTCAACATTTTCTAATTTTGGGATGACGCCTTTAAAGGGTCCATTGACTATTGTATACCTGCAACATGGTTTAAATCTGAGAATACCTGAGTAAGGCAATTCATAGGAATTTTCCGTTGCTGGTAAAGTTCTGTCTTCAGAGGCTGCACAATATTGAGTAATTTGGCCCTTGTCAATGTCCACATAAGCAAATTTGTCCTTGTCCAACTGGACAACCTCGTTTTCTGGCTCGTTGATTTGTTTGAGCAGACATGCAGTTTTTATATCTGCGTTGTTACTTCCGCTTTGAATCTTTTGAATACACATGTCTGCACTTCTGGTGGGAGTGTGCTGGAATTGACAGATTCGGCAACCAGTGTAACCTAGTGGTTTCAAACAGGTTGGGATTTTGTACGAGTTGATACCAAAAAGATTTCCATTTTGACGAAGTAGATGGGAATGAGAGATGGAAACTTGTAACCACTTGGGGGTTCCCATATAAGTGGGTTCAGCTATGGGCAAGGCATGTACCCTAAATAATTCGTAAATCTCTGAGTTTCGGATCACTGGAGCAATTGTTAGTAAATTGAATACACAGGTTTGATTAGGGTCAGTAGGGTTTAGACAATCAAACGTTCCCATAGTGACCGGGTTAGAACAAATCACATCAAACATTTCCGTAGCTGTTGGGCCTGTGATAGGGGCCTTGTGTTCTGTGACTATAATTTCCTTTAGAACACTTTCTACTTGTCTGTAACTAAAAACATGTCGGGGAAAGTTGAACTGATGTACTTCTTTGATATCTTGCATTAGAAAAAGAGTCAGATCAGTCAATTGTGAAACCTCCATGCTAAACAGTAAGGTTTTCATCCAGACTTCATGTTAGAGTTCTATTGATTTGTTAATATCTTTTAAGAGAGATGAAAGGAGGTCAGAATGTTTAAATTCTTCAAAAGCAAACAGAGTAGAGGTGCGTAGGAAAGCTCTTTTTTCTTGTACCTGTATTTTGTCAATTTTGACAATCCTTCTTTCCACAATAGGTAAGAGATTTAAATAAGGCATGTCTTTTTGCGGAGTGGCCATAACACTTTGAACATTTGTTGCCAAATTCTGAGTAACTGACTCAAGCTGTTTTATTTTGTGACTCAGAAGATCCATCGTGGTTCAAGTGGCAGTAGAGTAATTTGCTTTCCCCATTTCCTGATTTGAAATAAAGGTACTGGAGAATTCATGACCTAATTTTTGTATTGCGTACATGGCTTGAATGAATTTTCCCAGATCTTCCGAGGCTTCCAAAGTCCAAAAGTTAGTAGGAATACAGACTTGGTAGAGATCTTCCACAGTTACGCCAACATTGCCCGGAAAATTTCTTATGGGTAATATCTTGTCGAATCTGTTGCTATTTGACACCATTCCCTTGTCATCGTTAATTTCTTCTATGATCAGGGTATTAACACTGCTTGTTAGGACCAGAAAAAGAGAACGTTCGTTAACATGTTCCTCGGCATGGGATCAAAAGGAGACTGAGCCTGTCATTTAGACGGGTGCCTGCGTTTAGATTTGTTCCGTGTCCTGCTTGGAAGAATGTTACCTAGGTCCAAGCCAGACAGCATGCGGGACCTTGGTATCCTGGAGGCTTGTTCAGCTGCCTTTCTTTCCAATTCTTTTGCTTTCTTCTTTTCTCTCTTTTTCTTGCTCTTACTCATTGTTCCTGTTGATGCTGCAGCTGCAGCGGTGGATACGTGAGTTGGTGGCGTTTGGAAAACATCATCTGCATCTGAAGCTATCCTTGACCTTCGTGGAGTACTTTCGGCTCCTGGAGGGGCGATTGTACTCTCATTTGTTGTTGGCAGAGTCTGTTTGCCCTTGTCACTTTTGTCCGATCCAGGCAACAGGAACCTTCCCATTTCGGTGGTCACTTCTGAAAAGAGCTTAGAAATAGATTTAGTAGGGCTACTTGAATCACTTTTTGGTTCTCTTCATCTGGCTATAATGGTCTGGTTTGGGTCATCTGCAGAGACAAAGGACTCATTAGCCTCTTCAGTGTCCATTTCTTTGTTCTCAGCTCTAGTTGGAGATACGGTGGGTGTTTCATAGAATAGGAGTTCAGGTATGTGTTCCTGCAAACTTTCCAGACCAGTTGTCATCCCAGTATCTTTGGCTTTTCTGGAACTAGTGGAAGTGTCTAGGGTTGAGGGCACCTTTAGAGGAGATACGGATATTTTTGGTAGAGAAATAGGGGGAGAAGTTGTCGTTCCTTTTGTTGCCTCTGTGCTAGAGGGCACGCTTTTGACTGATGTGGGGGAGTCGTCATCGAGGTCGTCGAACTCCAGTATCTTTGATTTTGGTTGATAATTCAATTTTTCACAAATTTTCAAACTTTAAGAAACGGGAAACGGGACCCTCCTGCAGGCCTCTCTGGGGCTCTGTGGGAGGGAGGCAAGGGGCAGTAAGGAAGGGAGGGCAGGTGAAAATTAAAAAAACTGCGAACCGATGACGGCAAGCAACTTTATAATAGTTCTATGCCTATAAAAACCATCTCTTTATCCCCCTCTTCAACAGCAAGGAAAACAACGGAGACACGATCTCCCGTGCGAAAACTGACTACACCCCCTCAGCAGTAGCTCCAGCAGCTTGAGGTCATAGTCTGCTTGTTGATTCTCTGACTGTGGAGAAATGCTAGAAGATCTCTTAATATAGGGTCTGACATAACTAATGTGGACCACGTCGGTCCATTCAGGATGTTCATCGTCGCGTATTCTTACTACGACGGGATTTATTATTTCTAGTACAGTATACGGACCCTTATACTTAGCACTCCATTTCTTTCCCACGAACGTCAGGGGATGCTGTCTTGACCAAATTTTGTCTCCAGGTTTGTATACAGTATCTTTTTGATATACGTTCAGTCTTTCCAGATAGGACGCCTGTCCTTTTCGGATGGCTGCTTGGGCTTGTTGCCTTAGCACATCCAGGCTATCCTTCTTGATGTCGAAGAATTGTTGAATATTCTGGAATTCCTCTAGATTTTGCAGACCAGACAACCAATTCCTGCGGGGTTTTAGTCCTGTAACTATTTTGAAAGGAGAAGCTTGAAGAGCTTCATGTTTAGAAGAGTTGTGGACCCAGGCTGCTAATTTTAGCAATTCATCCCACGTACTCTTGTTATCTGGGTCGAGATAAAGGGTGAGATATTCATGCAGCTCTCGATGTGAGCGCTCGTTTTGCCCATTACCTTGAGGCCCATAAGCGGTTGTAGTATTAGCCCTAGCTCCCAAAAAATTAGCCATATCCTTAAAAATGCTACTGACAAAATTGGTTCCTCGATCTGTTAGAATCCTTTTTGGGGATCCAAACATACATACCCAATCAGTAAGGAATATTCACGCAGTGGTTTGCGCAGAGGCATCACGCATGGGAGAAAAGACAATCCATCAGGACAGCCTATCTTGCATAACTAGCACGTATTGGTTTCCTCTTTGGCTATTGGGTACGGGACCTACTACGTCAATACTGACATCCTCGAAACAGTTTTTAGGGATACCAGTTGAGAGAAAGGGGGTCTTGTGGGCATAATTCTTCGCCTTTTGACACTCAGTACATGATCTAATGTATGAGGTAACATCCTTTTCCAGGTTTGGCCATGTGAATTCTTCTTTTATCGCAAAAGATGTCTTATCAATCCCACAATGCCCCATGGCTGGAGGATCATGGAAACTTGCGATTAGTTTCATTCTCATAGATGGTGGTACCCAGATTCTTTGACCCTTATCTGTGGATTTCATTAGAAGACCATCTATAGTTGAAAATTCAGCTCCAAAAGGTAGTTTGTTTTTCACTGCTGTCGTTGCCCGTTGGAGGAGACCGCAAGATATATATGGAATCAGGTTTGTTTCCAATAATGAGGGAGACAGATATGCGCATAGTTTGTTCTTTCTCGGCTCAGGGGGGAATCAACTGAGGGCATCGGCATGGGGTATTGCGAGGCCTTTCCTATACTCAACTTTGTATTGGTATTCATACAAGGCCATGAACCAGGCTATTGCCCTGCGACTGTCACTCTGGCGTTGTCAACTGAGATAGGGGATAGCAATATGATCCGTTTGGATGGTGAACGTATGACCCCAAAGATACAACCTAAATTGGGACACTCCATAATAAACAGCTAACAATTCCCTGTCAGTATTTGGGTATCTTGATTTGGCATCATTCAATGTTCTGCTGGCACATCCTATCAGGACTTCCTTTTTTCCGGGTTTTTGAGTCAGGATGGCCCCTACTGCTATGGCGGAGGCATCGGTTGTGAGAATAAATTCTAGGTTAAAGTCCGGAAAGGAAAGAATGGGTGCCGTTAAAAAACATTTCTTTAAACTTCCACTGCATCTTGCTGTTCTTTTGTCCAGATAAAAGAGACATCCTTTTTCAGGAGGAGGTACAGCGGTTTTGCTTTTACAGCGAAATTCTGGATGTATGATAGGAAATAACCTACTAAACCTAGGAAAGCTTGCACTCCTTTAACATCTTTTGGTATAGGGAAATTCTGGATAGCATCTATTTTGGCGGGATTTACTCGGATACCCACTTTGCTGATGACAAATCCTAGGTATTCCATTTGAGTCCGGAAAAGTTGACACTTTGAAAATTTAACTTTCAATCCAGCACCGTCCAGTCGAGTTAGTATATCCAATAAGTGAGTCAAGTGGTGATCAGCTGTCTTGGAGTAAATAACTATATCGTCTACGTAAATGTAGGCATACGTTCCAAGACAGCCATCCAGCACTAAATGCATTAATCGTTGGAAAATCGATGGACTATTTTTTAATCCCATGGGCAATTGGATGAATTCATAGTGGCCCATTGGGGTCAAGAACGCTGTCTTCCATCGATCTTCCTTGCAAAAAAAATGTAATATTTTTGGTACGTCGTTTAGGTTACGTCATTTTATGAACCTTGAGGGGTTGAGGAGTTTATAGACTAATTATGCTCCATCTCCCACTCGCAGTCATTAATGTACTAGCAAATCAGTTCTAAAATCAACTACCATATGCCAACCTCCGTCTTTCTTTTGCACCATCAGCGTTGGGCTGTTGTAAGGTGACTTTGAGGGTAGAATAATCTCATGACCCAAAAGGTCGTCGGTGTAATTGCTGACCTCGGGTCGCATTGCATGAGGCAGAGGATATTGGCAAGTGAATATGGGTTGATTAGTGTCAAGAGGTATATCCGCTTTGTACAATGGACATAATCCTAAATGGTCCAATTTCTTAGCCAATACGTTGTTAAATCTTTTGAGTAAGGACCGTAAGGCTGGGATCAGTTTATCGGGACATTCCGAAAGTTTAATATTTTTGTCTATTAGTTGAGAAAGATCCTTTTCCTCCAACTTGCCATGTATCCTTTCTAGGGTTTTTCTCTTTGCATCAGTCATCGGGGTGGCTTTTGTGTGGGCCACTAGCTTAGGTTTGTCTTTTTGTATCTCAAAATCATTGACACTTGCAGTGGCGAGGGTGGTTTTAGGTGTCAAGCTAATGTCTTTGTCTCCAATATTCAGACACAAGATGGGGTATGCGCCAAAATGTTTTCGAGATATACTCCTGGCGATTACAATATTGCTGTATATACTGTTGGGGACATATATCGTTCGATCTTGAATTCTTTTCTCAGATTTTTCCAAGGGTTTTACAAACACCAACTTCTGGGATCGTTTCGGGATGACTGTTGCAGAAGAAAGATAAAGCCTAAAAGGAGGTTCAGGCACGGATTGATTGTTAGTCAACGAGCTTCTTATTTTCCTTCTTTGTGATGTCTTGGTAAAAAACCTTAATCTCTCTGTCTTGAGTTGCAGACATCTTTCCGGGAAGAAAGTAGTAGCTTTCAGTTGTTTTAGTAAATCTGATCCAATAATGCCTTCAAATTCCTGTCTGCAAATGTCAAACAAAACAAAACGGACAGTTGCCAAATATGCGGAGTTACTATACAATTTCACATCCAGCGTGCCCGCTACGGGCAGTTGTCTTCCTTCCAAAGTAGCAATAGTAATGTCAGAGGACATAGGGGTTATTTCAGGTTTTAATACAGACGGAGAAAGAAGAGAAATTTCGGATCCAGAATCTATGAGAAACTTAACTGGGAAAAGCGTGACGTTGGTGGCAATGATGACGACCAGCAGCTTCACTGAGGAAGAAGTCAAAGTGCCGGTTAATACTTGTTTCCCAAGTAGGCTTTGTTGAGGTATCCTTTGGGCAAGAGTTTGTTCTCGAGCTCGTCGTAATTCTCGTCTCCTTCGTATTCTTCATCCGCAGTTACTTACTCCACAAAATTCACAACTTTCCTGCCGCGACCACGACCACAACCACGCATATTTCCGCGCATAGAGGAGCAACCTCTTGCATTCCCTTGGGACAATCGCGGCCTGCGACCATCTTTCTCGGGCGCGATATAGACAAACTTTCTAGGCGCTTGTTTGGCGGATTCCTTGGACAACGCGCGGCACTCACTACTGAAGTGACCCTTTTGGCCACAATTATAGCACAAAGTAGCGACGCAAAAGTCAGAGTTACCCTGCCCATTATACACTGGAGGGGTCTTTGGGCGTTGGTAAGAAATTTGGTGGAGGGAGGAGCCTTGTCGCGATGCCTGTATGTCTTGCTCCCGATCTTCTACCAAAATCGCATTTTGGATCGCGGCCTCAAAATTGTCAAAAGTGATTTGAATAGCGTTCCCCAATTCAGGTATAAGACCGTCCATAAACGTAGTGACCAAAAATCCTTCTAAAAATGATTTTTTCCCGTTGTATTCCCAGCTCTCCTTGACAAAGAAAGGGTTTGGAAGCAGGGCAGCAGGTTGGTTCTCACGTCGAATTACTTTTAATTGACTAGGGGCATCTCCTAACAAGAAGTTTCCGGCTCGTCGAACTCGAGCACCAAAAGTTTGAACTTGTTTGTTGGGATTCTGGCGCATGTTCTTCAAATCTCTCATCAATTTGGAGATGACCTTTTGGCCGTAAGCATCTTGTAGAGCTTTTACAATGACTCTATAATGGGCGGAAGTTAGCCCTTGGATTGAAGTTACATATATTTGAGCTTCCCCTTTCAATTTAGTAAGTAAGTTGGAACGGATACTTTTGTCTGAATGGACGCAATCGTAAAGGGCCGTTTGAAATGTTGCCCACCACTCTTGCCAAGTAAGAGGACCAGTTCCATCAAACGACGGAATTTGATTCATTGCCATTGAGGCCTGTTGGTTTGTCGTGCTCACAACACGGGTTTTCTTTAGATGTTCTACGTTGTAAAAGACCACTTCGTCCGCTGTAAGCTCCGTAATCTGGTCGACCAGGAGATCCTGATTCAGAAGGGCTTGCCTCACACCCAGACCTTCAGCAAGATTTTTACGTTTGATTCTTAATTCTTCTTTCAATTGTTTGGAAAAAAGAAGTAATTGGGTGTCATTGATAGCCTTCTCATGGAGATCGATCTCCACAAGATTAGATTCAAGACTCTCCAAAATACTCCTAGACGTAGCCAGAGGACCATCTGGTGCCTGAAGGGCGTCCAGTGTTCTTCGCAACGCTGTTCTCGCTTCTGGTGTGGGGGCAGGGTCAGTTTTAGCTAATTCTGCATTAATTTTTGCCACTTCTTCCTCACACTCTCTTAGTCGTCGCCTAGCTACTTCAGCCTGTTTGCGTGGGGTCAGATTGAGTAACTTTTGATCGACAATGTCGTTCATGTCCATTACACGAGACATGTCGAGTTTTGAAACATTAACTCCGGTAGCCATTCTTAAAGAAAACATGCACACGTTTTGGCACTTTCCACTTCAGTAACAGTATGCCGTATTCTACAACACTTTTTGCGAGTGTCGGCGGTCGTCTGGAGTGTTAACTAAGATCACTTGGTTGTGCTTTTTCTATCAGAAATTACTTTTCTTTTTGCACTTCTTTGCATAGCTAAGCACTCACCCGGGGTTAAAAAGAGAATGGTTTGCGCCAATTTTGTTATCCTATATTGTCGGGATTGCTCTTTAAATCTATAGTCGATCGCGTTGACGTCTCTTTGCAATTAAACCCAAACTCAACTCAATATCTGACTAGGACAATCTCTTGTCGAGAAGCTTTAACTCTGTATACTGGGTTCTGAAGTAAAAGACTTCTCGTTTACCAAAAGTGTTAGAGTATATTTTGTTCAGCAACAACTTCCACAAGATCTCAACAGACAATGAATATGGAAAGGATGTTCGGGCGTCCTCTTTATGGATTCGTTTAGGGACAGGTGAATGACCGGTCATGAGCCACGAAAGTAAACCGGATGCGGAGCGATCCGTTATGAATGAAAGTAGAACGGAGCATGTCACATGACAACTACACCAACAAGGTATTATTTGAGTGTCTTGGGACACTGATCTTATATAACAGCTTAAACATTTTAAGTCTAAAAAAATTTTAAAGGAATTAAAATTTTCTGTGTTCTGAGACAATTTGAAAATTTCTGTGTTGAACATATCTGCATTCTGAGACAATTGTCTCAGAACACAGAAATAAATAAAAACTTTGTTTGTAGTACAAGATTTGTACTACAAATAAGGGTGAACATTCACCCTTTTTCGTATTACAAAATTTGTTTGTTCTATGGGGTGAAATAAATGGATTTTCCCCCAAAAACCTTTGTTATGTGGAATGTTGGTACTACTGGGGGTTTGTAGTTTGGGGTACCACTGTACTTTGATGAGGTTTGAAAACACAACAGAAATTTTCAAAATCTTGGAGATGAGACACACACAAATGCTCAAATGAAAGTGTAATGAAATAGTCAAGTTTGGAAATCAGGAAAACTGTCCTTCCAGGAAGAAAAACAGCAACAGGATCTTGATAATAAAATCCAGCCTTGGAGGCTGCCAAACATCTGTGGGAACCAAGGTCTTCCAAGATTCCCACACAGATAGAATGAAAGACAAAATTTACAGGGGAATTCAGGTTCTCTAAAGCTAGTGTATTGAATTTAAAAGGTTCCTTGAAATATTTGTGACACTTGTGGCATTTAAGTGCCTGGCTTGCTCTGTTCTGGCAGAGCACTTGTGTGGTTTTTGTTTTGTGGTTGTTCCCATGTAATTGTGAAAGAGTGTTCTTCTTGCACACTATCCCATTTTCCATGGACACAGTGAGACAGCTTTCCAGAATATTCAGGCATACCATCTACAATCCTGCATGAATCGTCACCACATTTTTGAAACTGAATTGTTGAAACTCAGTTCAACACTCTAACCGCTTCTACTCGATTTTCCTACTGCGTAAGTTTTAATTCAGGTTCATTTTCTTTTCTGACTAATTTCAGACAAGAATATAACAGTTATCTTTTTCCAAGGAGTGTAACCCGATTTTAGTAGTTCAAGACTCCTAAAAACCCGTGAAGTCAACTCCATCATTTTAGTCATTTTAACTGGGCCGCATACAGAAATAAGAACAATTATTTGATTTGGAGATGTGGAGTAAAGCTCAATCATTTAAAATCATGCCCCGAAATTCCTCTCATACTTTTTTTCCAATGCGCTAAGTACGAAAATTAATAATTTTGTGGATCACCTTGATGGTAATTGTGATAACACTCTGGTTCAGACTGGAGCCTCACAAAGTTTGACAGCCCCCTCTTTCAGTACAACCACTTTCACAAGAACCAATGCCAGAATTTCCAATACATCATGGGAGAGGTCAAGTCATTGATGCATCATCTGCTGAAGAACCGGAGCCAGGTATAGAAGAAAAGCGGTGCTACTTTGTTTAAACTAAATTGTTAATCTTCTCTGTATGGAATTGTAATGCAGAAAAGCGCATAAATCAAAAGCAATGAAATCATTTGGAATTGCTTTACTTGGAGAGATTTTGGTGTTGAGCTGAAAATCGAATAGATGTGTAATTCTTTTTGAACTTCCCAACATGGATACCACGACAATAATTAATTGGTATTGTGCATAAATTTCAAATTATACAACTTGAGAAGTACATAAGAAAAACTGCTAACCTACCTTATGATTCGGGGAAATTCCAATTTAAGTCCTGCAGACAATTTTTGATGTTTGTCAATGAGCATCATAGCCATGAACTATTACACAATGGGGAAACCTCTGTATTTCTTCCTTATTCAAGCGTGTTGGGCTAATCTTTTCATTTCATGAAAAAAGATCTAGTTTATAAGATATGAAACAACATATATATTTGTGAATGCTGTATTGAAATTTCAATAATCCCACTACTGAAAGAACTGATGAATCCCTATCAGAATATATTATCTGAGATTTGAAAATCAAAAGCCGTTATTATACATAAAGCAATCATATGCAGGACAATTCAGTTGACCCAACATTTCAAAACTGAATCAGTTTCAAAACATGCCTGTCAGCTCAAAGGTTTGTTAACCAAATTGTGCTCTATAAACAAGGTGCTACTGCTGGAGAACAAAAGTTTATCCTACACGAAATTTTTCCACAGGAGTTAGTTCACCCACAGTATACTGCGGCAAATGGCTGTTCAAGTGAGGTTTTCAAAAGTTGATCTCATGATTTATCAATTCTGAACAACGTAGGATGATGAAGAAAGTTATTGACCTTGAATCAGTGTTTTTATTTTCAAATTATATACACAGTAGAGAGATTTTTAAAATAATATAGGAATTTGATGGACCCTCCAACTGAAATACTCATAGAAAATTTTAACATCTTAGAAAAAATTGAAATGCTGATCACCACCGTTTCATGTATTTCTTTTTATTAACTCTCTAAAACTACAAGTGGGGAATAAGGTTGAAAAAGTATGAGCATATTGTGGGCACTTCCAAGTGCAGTACTGCAATGCAAAGATTTGGCATGGAGGCATGCATTAATTTCAACCCAAAACTGGTTTCAAAATAAATTGTCTACCCAGCAAATAATTTTGACATTGCAACCTGCATTGCAGCTCCATTGGCAAGCTGTTTTGACCCAAACGTTGGGCAAATGGCAGTTTGGTCACTGTGAAACTGCTGGGGGAGCAGTTTCACAGTCATTCCCTGGGTCATTCTCAAATGCAGCCAGCATGCATTGCCAATGACCCCTGTTTCCCAGCATGCATGCAACCACCCCCCACCCACCCTTTTAATTACTGTTGTACAATCCATTCAGCAACCCATTGCACACCCATTCTGAAAATGACCCCAGATATACATGGGGCAGAAAAAAAGTAAAATAAATTCACATTCAATTGCTGCTGTTTTATTCTTTACTTTGCTTTCTTTGTGTTATCCTCTTTCTTCTTTACTCCATCTCTGCTGTGCTTTCTGTTCACAATATTCTTTCCTGCTGCTGCTCCTTTGCTTTGAATCTGCTGTCCTGATGATGCTCCTGCTTGGTTTCAAACTGGGGCCATCTGAGTGAGAGTCAGTCACCTTCACATCTAGCTTAAAATTCCCTAATTAAGATAGAAGGGAGTTCAAAAAAAGCAAATGTTCCTTGAAACAAGGCCTTTCTTGATATTTCATCATATAATACATGTTTCAATTTAAAAGCATTCACCATCATTTTTTGTGTGATCGCACTACATTGCATGGCATGTGATGTACTGCAATGTAGAACAATTTACAACAGTTGTACATTGTTCCACATTGCTCCACATTGTTCCACATTGCTCCACATTGCTCCACATTGTTCCACATTGCTCCACATTGCTCCACATTGTTCCACATTGCTCCACATTGCTCCACATTGTTCCACATTGCTCCACATTGCTCCACATTGTTCCACATTGCAGTACATTGCATGCCATGCAGTGTAAAGCTATGTAGAACAATGTGGAATGATGTTCAAGTTGAAAATCATTCTACATTGCACAAAAAATGACATATATTTATTTTTATTCTAATATTGTATAATATAATGAAATAACAAGAAAAGCCTTGTTTTAAGGAACATTTGCTTTTTTTGAACTCCCTTCTATCTTAATTAGGGAATTTTTTACAGATCTTCAAAGTTTGAAGATCCTTTTAGATTTTGCTAACGTTTTTTTAGCAAAATTTACAGTTGTGCTCAACAATGAATCAGCAATGTTCAAGTGAACATTGCAGGTACATTGCCTCAACTAAGAATTACATTTCAAGGACATTTCAGTGTAAATTGACAAAATCTATATTGTCTCCAATTATAATTTAATGTTTATATATGTGTACATTGCTAATGCATTGGCCCTGCATTGTTCAATGGTGCTCAGAATGAGGGTGCATTTTATTGCCCACAAAATGTTGGGTGTACCATTCTGAAATGCATCTACAATGCATTTCAGAATGGCCTTCATCTCCAACCATGTTCTCAATAGACTGCCAACGTGTCCTGCAACACTTAGCTCAAAATGCCAGCAGGGGAGCATTAGCTCAAAATCCCAACCATTGACAGAATGCATTGCAGAACCCATTGGCAGTCCATTTCCTCAACAATCCACAGCCCAACTCCCCCATTATTTGCTGGGTATTGATTTTGTGCTGAACATTCTGAACAAAAACCTTAGTTGTTGTTTTCCTGCAATAAAAGGCTATGTCATCTTTGTTTTTTGCCTGATGTGCTGAAAAATTTCTGCAGCATGCACTGCAGTTCACTTCATTGTGTATGTTGCATGATATTGAATTACGAATTTTAAAATTTTTCAAGGACAAAGTGAGCTGAAAGTGGGCAGCTGGATTTTGAATTCAGCAAACTTGCAAGGAGCTCACGTTGTGGATCCATATTTATGCAAGGCTTTGGAGGAAATGCTGTTCCAGAACAAATCAGTATTGGACCTTGGATGTGGGATTGGTCTCTATGGGATTTGCTTCCTACGACTCAGTAATCACACATTTCCAAATTCAGAAAGGGATTTTTTTACAAGGTTAGTCATTAGGGTAACTTCGGAGGCATTGTTCCATGTAGCATTTTCTTTGGATTGTTCCTTTTTATATGAGCAAGAGGGGTACTCCGGGGAATTCTCTCTACAATGATCTTGTCCACAAGAATTGTCACTATGCATAATAATTTTGTTCAATGCAATTAGTGGCTTCCCTCATTTGCAGGGATAGAATTCTCTCCGCCTTCTATTCCTATGTTTTATGGGTTCCCTCATTCTCTCTAAAACAAATTTCATCTGGCGCTTCACATTTTGTTGTAGAGGGAGTTCACCTTTATCCACCTTCTGCCTATCCCATATAGCTTTTGATCATGCATGGCCCAACCATCCCTCATCTGATACCTCAACTCACCGTCTTACATTTTAAACTTGAGTTGTGTACAGTACATGGTTATTGTTTAACAACTTTAACCCGTTGAGGATTCCTGTTCATCCTGTACCTAGCTGGGATTTTCCAGCGAGGGGGGGGGGGGGGGGGGGTGACATCCCATTTTGATCAAATGTCACTTAAAGGCCCCACGGATGGGAAAGCGCAAGTCAAGAAAATTCTGGGTTGGATTTTCAACCCTTTTGATGGCAGAGATTTGCTTGAGAGAGTTACTCTGTGCAGCAGAGCCTGGAATTTTCTATGAAGATTCACTTCGAAAAGAATAGGGCACAGCTCTGAAATAATTCTTTTCTATGCGCGGTCAAAGCAAATTCTTTACAATTTCGCAGCGTAGACAACCTCTTCCATGCAAACTGCCGAAAATCTCCTGCCACGTGGTTTGAACCACATTGATTCTGAAGAATTCTCAAGCAAATCCTTCTAAAGGGATGCAAGAAAAATCCAGGATATTTAATTGTTCTTCTATCTTAAAAATATTTGCGCTCAAACGAAAAAACAAAGTTTTAAGATCTTCAGCATAGGTTCAGAATTTTCAAAATCTGAATTCTTTGGGCTAACAATGAAACTGCTTTTGCCTCCTGTATGGGATACAATTGAGATCTCGATTAGCCTATCCAAAAATGCTCGTGAATTCATTTGGAAATGTTTTCTACAGGCACCTTATGGGCTTGAAAGATTGGTGGAAGTCAACAGGTCCTGTTATTCAGTCCTGGACTGGTTATGATGGAACCCCAGGGATCAAGGATTTGACAGCTGGCTTAGTAAAACGCATGGATCTCAGTAAGCCGAGATACATTGGACGAACATTCAACTGGGTCTTGAGTTTAGAAGTTGGCGAGCATATTCCTAGAAAGTATCAGGCGAATTACATCTCCAACCTCGTTAGACACGCTGAAGAAGGAATAGTTCTGTCATGGGCCGTCGAGGGCCAAGGAGGACGTTCACACGTGAACAATCGGAACAACGACATCATCATTGCAATTCTGGAAGGACACGGGTTTTACCCGCAGCCTGAAATTTGGAAAAGTCTTCGTGGCAACAGCTCTCTTTATTGGTTCAAAAACACTGTTATGGTATTCACCAGAGATGAAAATTACCGGATGACGGTCGATATTTAATTTCGATGCATTCTGTAACTACCTGTAAAGGCGATAGAAAATGTTCAGCCTAGATATTCAGCTCCGCTACTGAAGAGATTTATTCCTTAGAATTATTTTACGGTTTATTTTTTTAAACCTGCACACTGATGACCACACGATAGTATGTTCACAAAGTTTAAATTAAAAATGCTCGCAAGCATACGAACATATTTACGAAATAAATTACGCTTTGCCTATGGTTGTCTATATACGTGTTAAGTATGTTGCTTACAGGTTAGATGTGAAATGCGTGTTTGCTGCTGATGATGATTAACTCGTCAGGTGCTCTTTCTAATGAAGAAAAATGAACAACCATGTTAGTTGTCTTGATGAATAAAAAAAATGTTGAACTTATTTTTGTAGTGCCAAACACAATTATTTCGGAATGTGGAAATGTTGCTCAAGTACATTGAATGTAAAACACGACGATGAGGTTGAAACACAAATTTACGGCGAATCATTAAGTCGACAATTGGTTCCCATAAATTATGATCTCCATCAATGTCTGCACATTCGCAATTTCATCGATTTTCGGGTGGCGAAGACAATTTGATTGCTTTCAGCAGTGGCACACGTTAGTAACTTATATTTGATCCAATTTTTCAAGAGAAGAACATGGTTTTAATCCTATTTTGGAGTGATATGCCTCATATGATTTTATCATGTATATTACTGTTATTGGAAAGGAGTGACGTTTTATTTCATGTATAATTGAGCACACAAAACTGAAAGCACAAACATAGAATATGTGAGGCTTCAAACGAAAGGATTCCCGAATATATCATGCAACAGACATTGAATAACAGACAGAGGGACGCACATATTCTAGTACAGTGTTGTGCAACTTGTGGAAGTTTTTTGCTGGTCTGCAGGAAAATATCTGAATTTATAGAAGGTGAAAATAAAGCATGTTATATTTGATGATCCAAAAGGCCAGATGAAACGGCAGTTGTAATTGTCTGAGAAAAATATGTTAGCTCTTCTTTGTATTACATTTTACCCTTCAGTCTTCATGCATGTCTTGTATGAAATAAAAGTGAACATTATTTTTAGTTTCAAATCTGACAAGCCTTTATTGAAACTCAGATTTCTATTTTTTCAAGACATTCCGGCTGCTAATCAGTTCTTTACCTAATGTGGCAGCTGTGAAGGCGGCTGTTGATGAAAATGGTGGAATTACCTTGGAAGACCTGAAGGCAACCCTTGATTGAATGCCACATTGATTTCAAGAATTCTGAGGGGAAAGCTGGGCTAAAAAAAAATCTGCAGGAAGGGTGTCTCATCTTTTGAGTGGAGAGCAAAACTCTGCAGGGGTGAATTTTACAAAACATTCAAATAAATTTGTCAAACAGGGCTGATTTTTTGTGTGTGCCAAGGAATATGTTTTCCTTCAAGAATACATCTTTTTAAAGTGCAATTATGCACCAATTTAGTTTATATTTCAAGTACTTTTGTTAGAACCCTTGTACTGTAATGTATGGCAGTGGGGGGTCATTAACAGGGTTATCCCAGCCATGTACTGTATTTGGATGTAGGAGACGTGGATGGGGCAACCGGTTATTCCTGCTCTCCCTTCCTGTAGGCGCTCATATGTAACCGAGATACTCCAACTTGTTATCCCTTTCAAATGTCATTTTGTTGTACTTGTACGCGATGCACTTGACGATGACGTGCAGTACGGTGTGTGAGGTCCTTTCAAGTACGAGTGTTGTACCACCGCATGCCGCGAGTCCTACTAAATTCTGACGTCGGATTAAAATTACACTCCAAGACACCAAACTGCAGTAATATTGTAATGCAGGACACTTAAAAACAGAGGGTGCAGCTCCATCCACTCCTATATCCGGTTGCACGGTGGCAGGCCTGCTGGGTGCCAGCCTCATGGCTCCTGTGACCTCCTGCATGCAAATGTCTTTATTAGTACTCCATTGCTCAACTTTTTTCTTCCCTTCTTACCCTCAGAACCTCCCAGATGTTCGGAATGTGAGCACACTTTTGAAGGTCTGCCTGATGTTTCCTCATAAAATTTCTTGTCCTGCATGAATGTATCCCTTAAATCAGCTTTTCAGAACAGCAGCGTAGTGGAAGGAGTTTCCTGGCAACATTTGCTATGAAGCTTTTCATCCAGTAGTAGAGTGTCCACAGTGTGGACAAAAAAACAAAAAAAAATTAAAAATCGATTGCAGAAGTGGGATTCAAACCCAAGCCTGCAGAACCAGACTGCGACCTGAACACAGCGCCTTAGACCACTTGGCCATCCCGACAACTTGATGTACTGGGTGCGTTTTTTTTAATGTAAGAAACAAACCGTAAACAAACAGGCCACAGACACACATTACACCATGTCCTTATTATCCCCCCCTTGGAAAAAACTTTGGTAAGCTGATAATTTGGCACCAGACAAGCAATTCTTCCTCTCTAATCCATCACAAATTTAACAGCTTCTTCTGGAGCATGAGAACCAAACCCAACTTTGGTTCCCAGGACCAGCAAGGACATTTCTGGGTAAACTATTATCCTTCATACTTCCTTTCCTTCAACTCTTGCTTTCCTGATTCCTGAATTCTACTGATAAAACACACCCATTCAAGTAGCAAACCAGAGTGGATCGCCGTGCAGAGAAGCTTTGCATATTTTGCAAAAGATTGAACAGTGAAATCAAACTCTCATTCCCAAAATAAAGCATATTAAAACAGGACAAAGTTGTCCTGGCTGCAGCCTGAAAGTGTTTTTCTTTCATCTCCATTTGCAATTTTCCATAAGCACTGAATTTTTAGTAGACAGACTTTGTCAAAGCAGAAAGCATTTTTCCAAGCCTTTATTTGATTTTGAGTAATTAATTCATTGCACTTTTCTTTTCTTCTTTGTGAGATTTCTTTAGCCCATTATCTTTTTTCAAACACCCTATATATGAGTGCAGGGCTTCTTATCTATGAAAAACCTGCCCAAAGATAAGAATTATATTATGAGATATCAATACTGAAGCTGCAAACAAAGACAAGAAATAAATATCAGATATCCATCTATGAACCACAAGAACTGTATAGTTGCTACAGTTGCGAAATTCCATGCCACTGTATTTGGATACTGTTCCTGAAATAGTGAATTACTATGTGAAATGAATCTTTTAAAATATGGGCTTCCTGGTTGAAGAATTGACCTGGAGAAAACTCCGTATTTTTTAAAAACATATTCGGCCGTACTATAACTTACAAAACGGAGAACCTCGTGAACAATGGCATTGAAATACTTTGATGTCCAAAAGTCTTCAGTCAAAGTTGCGTTCACTGTTTTCATAATCATATATGGATTTTGGATCTATCGGCACCACCAAGGGTCCGAGCCCAAATATTCATTTCCGTTGGAGCAACAGAATGCGTGGTTCCAGCAGCCAGCAACGGGACACTGCTCCAGCTGTTCAATATCTTGAAGAAGCAGTAGGAGTGAATTTTTCTCTTCCTCATGCTCCAAAAGCAGGTAAGAATAAGCAGTTGTAAGTTCTGAATCTTCATCTTTAATTATTTGCAAATCAGAAAGTTGAGCTTCCTTATTGATGGGCACGAGGGTCAGATACATTGGACCCTTATAGGTAATAAACCCGTTTTCTAACAAACTTTGTCCTCAAAGAAAAATCCCTTGGTTGACAGAACAAAAATTGTTGAACAAACTTTTGTTCACTGGCAAACACCACATTTACTCAAGTCCTGTACCATGTGTGGGGACAAATATTGTTCTCACAAAATTACATACTGCTAAAAGACGCGATGATTACCTGTTGTTGACTAAGAAATGGAAAAAGCTGGCCCTGGCAGCCACCTTTGTGGGAATGTTAAGAATTGACAGATTAATCAAGCCCACCATTGAAAGATCCCTAATTCCCTACACATCTTTGTGGACACAAGTGGAAAAGCATTGGGGGCTGTTGTCTATTTAGTATCAGGAAACTCCGTCTCTATAATCCAGGCCAAATCCAAATTGGTCCCATCTAAACAGAGAACTGCTAACATACAAGAAAAGGACAAGAGCCTGAGGATAAACAGATTGGAGTTGTCAGCAGCCTGTTTGGGAATCAGACTGGCAAAATTAAACTTAAAATCTTTTGGCATTACAGCTGACTATGTTTTCTTCTGGTCTGACTCACAAGTGGTGGTCAGATGGGTCTGGGTGGTAAACTAAACCCAGTACCCTATGTCCAGGATCATCTCCAAACTGTACTCTCAGGATCCCTCCAAAAAAATTGGAGGCATGTCCCTGGAGAGGATAATCTGGCCAACTATGCCTCAAGAGGAACTCCCCTGAAAAAATTGAAAACCAATTCTCTGTTTTGAAAAGGACCAGAATGGTTGACCAACCAGAGCAATTGGCCTAAACAACCAGAAAAGACCTCACTGATTCAATTCAAAGTAAACATATCAGTGGGGAAATACCTGGATAAAATCCTGGAGAAAGCCTACAAAGGAACCCAAGGAGACTGGGTAAAAATTGTGACCAGGACAATGACCTGGCTCAAAATCAGGGAGTTTTTTAGAAATCAAGCAAAAAATAGGAAAAGAAAACCTGGTTTATTTCCCCCCACAACAAGGGGGACATATATGGGAGACGTCATTTTTAGGCAAAAACCATTCCTGAGAAACTTCTCCCCCCTTGAGTTTATGGAGGGCATAATCAAAACCATACGTTCTGTTCAAAAAATTGGTGCTCCCATCAAATGGAAGATCCTTGCATAAGGAGGCACAATACAAGAACGAGAAGATCTCGCCTGGAATCCTAGGATGAATCTGTTGATCTCTCAGAGTTGACAGGCAAGAGATCAAAGCACTCATGTCCGAAAGGGGCACCTGACGCGTGCTGCCCTTGTATTTTTGCCTCCCCCAAAAAAGGAGGGGGATCTTGGATTTATCCAGTCCCTATTTCTGACCTTCCACAAAGACTCGGGACATCCTTTGCCTAATATCCTGGTAACAATTTTCAATAAAACCTTCTGGATTAAGGGATCAAGGGTCCTGGCTAAGCAAATACGCAAAAATTGCAATTGGTGTCAAAGATTTGACACCAGACAATTTCTGCCCCCTGTGGCACCCTTGCCAGATTTCAGGTATGACGGGATAATTCCCTTCAACACAGTAGGGATCGACTTTGTTGGCCCTTTCACAACGATAAATGGGGCAAATTTCTCTATTTGTGTTTTTTCTTGTGCTAAAACAATGGCCATAGATTTGCAACCAGTGATGAACGTGTCACTAGAGTCCTTCATTTTTGCTTACAAAGCCTTTATCAAAATAGATAATGCGGCCACTTTTTGGCCGCATGGCCCATGTTACTAAGAGCCAAGCAATTTACAGTCAAAAGCCAACTGAGAGGAATGAGGTGGTTTTTTAACGCCTCACGGGCCCCATGGTGGGGTGGATTTTACAAACAATTAATGAGAATGATCAAGGACAAGTTAGCTCAAACTTTTTCAGGAATCCCCTTCAAAGGGGACAATCGCCTGAGAGCCAGACTGACTTTTGTGGAAAGAATGATAAATTCTAGGCCACTCACATACATTTCAGACAACAGGGATGACCCAATGCCGGTCACCCCCTCAATGTTCATTAACCTGCATCAAGTGGATCCAGAATTTAATCCCTTGCTTTATGGTCTGGCCTCCATACAATTTGCAGGGGGATCCGCTACTGGATTGAAAAAGGCAGCCATCTACCAAATTAGATTGATGAATAATGTGTGGAAATCCTTCCACGATAACTACATCAGAGAACTCAGGAAATTCCCCTTAAGAAAAACAAGGGGATCAAACTTAGAACCCAAGGTGGATCAGATGGTGCTGTTGAAAAAACCAACCTTCAAAGGAGACACTGCCTTTAAAAGACTTGAACGGAAACTGGCCCAAATTGTTAAATTACACCCCAGCCATAGGGATGATTTTGTGCCGGCTGTTGATATCGAAATTGCCAAACCAGGACCTGGAGGAAGGTTCATAAAAACTATTTTACCTAACCAAACTGTCCAGAATCTAATTCCTCTCAAGGCTGACTCGGAGGACACTGGAAAAGTCTTTGTGCAAAATTTAGCAAGGTTTTACAAGGAAAAGCTAAAAATTTGTACAAAGCCTGAAGATACCCAGGCACTTTATTTTTGTGTTAGCATGTAAAAAATGTACAATACAAAATATATGCACAGGATTATCATACAGCCATTTTTTTTACAAAAA